AACTACTTCCATGATTAACCCCAAGGGCCAAAATAGCCTTTTCGCGTCTGTCTCTACTAGAACTATATCTCCTTTCTTCATTTCTATAGTCTTCTCCTTCCATCTAGCTGTAAGTAAAGCCAAATACTCCTTACGAAATCGAACTCTGAAATCTTCTCTCAACTTTTGTAAATATTTGTATCTTACATTTAAATTCATATTATCTACATAATCTAAATCAGAAGTATCATTAGAAGGTAAGCCATGTAGAAATAACATAGGTGTAAGTGGCCGCAAATCGTCGGTACAAGTCGAGACATATGTTAGTGGCCGACTATTAATGACAGCTTCACAATCGCACAAGACTGTGTCCAACTCTACCCAAGTCAATCGCTGACGCCCTAATATTCTTTGCAACATCTCCTTTAATACTCTAATGAGCCTCTCCCACCAACCTCCCCACCAAGGAGTTCTAGGTGGAATAAAACGCCACTTTATAGCATGGACTGCCGTCACACTTTCAACCTCCTGCCAATTAATATCCTTCAGTAAATTGGCAGTCCCTCGAAAAATTTGTTCCGTTGTCTGTGAAAATGACGTCTATACGACCTCTTCGAGCAATAAATCTACGAAGACTCATAATAAAACTATTTGTGGACAATGAGTCTATCATCTCAAAATGCACAGCCCTAAATGTCGCGCAAGTAAATAAAACCACCCAACATTTCTCTTGATTACGTAAATACAACGGCCCGGCCAGATCTATACCTGGCATTTGAAACGCTGCCGTGCCTTGAATCCATTCAAGAGGGAGTGGTGCCTCCTTCTTTGCTTCTATGGAAACAGCGTTCTCATCTACTGCGATGTGATTAGACTGAGGCCACAGTTCTTGGTCAGATAATAGCCAAGCAGGGCCATCCCACCAGTGACTGTCCATTAATGTCTTCATATTACAGCCATGTGCCAGTAGGTCTGCCGGATTGCAGTGGCCCGATACGTGCCGCCAATGTTCCTTCTTAGTGTGAGCACAAATTTCACTTACCCTATTGCTCACAAACGGCTTCCAAGAACACTGTCTTTGGATCCAGGCTAACACAACCGCGGAGTCTGTCCAACAATATAACGGGCAGGCGTCGTTGGTAAACAACGCTCTACTTATATCATTTGCAAGCCGCGATGCAATAAGCGCTCCCATTAGCTCCAATCTAGGTAAAGTTATTGATCTTTTAATTGGCGCTACTCTACTTTTGGCCATAACCAGCCTAATCGTAACTTTACTTTTGCATTCGGTCCGAAGAAAGACACAACCTGCATAAGCATTAATAGATGCGTCACAAAACAAATGTAAACTTTTGTTACAGTTCGTCAACCTCTCCTCTGATAAGCGTCTCGGCAACTTGCTATCATTTATCAGATGAACATGATTTAGCCAACTCTTAAATTCCTTCGATAATTCGTTGCTGATAGCTTGATCCCAACTTGTACTATCTATCCAAGCCTTTTGTACTATTAGTTTAGGCACTAGGGTAACAGGTGCAAAAATCCAATAGGGTCAGACATCTGCTGAGTTAATGACAAAAGATCTCTCTTCGTGACCCGATCTGGTATAGTGTTACTAAGACGGAAACTACACTGTAATTCGTCCGTAAGAGTATTCCATAGCACTCCTAATACAGATTGAGTCTGGACAGTGTTATCTACTCTAATAGGAGCGGTAACCCAACATCGTAAATCAAAATCCCCCTTTAGCATAACTTCCTTAGCTTCGTCTATAAAAGTAAATAAAGCCTCTTTTGTATCAAAACTAGCTACACAATTATCGACATAAAAGGAGTGTTTCAAAATTTCAACTGTCTAACCGTACATTCCTTCAAAATTGCCTAAGTGATAATTAATCGTAGCCGCCAAGAGAAACGGACTACAAGTCACCCCAAATACTACTCTCTTATGTCTGAAAGTGACTATCTTCTCTTTGGTCAACGGATTCTCCCACCACAGAAACTTTAAATACTCTCTATCTTTCTCTGAAACTAAAATTTGCAGAAAGGCTTGCTTTATATCCGACGTGACGCCGTACGTACCTTTCCTAAAGTTCATCAATAATTTAGGGATTAGTTCTATAAGATTGGTACCCGATTCGATGCAGTTATTCAAAGACAATCCTTGTGCATCTTTACACGATGCGTCGAATACTGGACGTATCTTCGTTGTAGTCCTAGACATCTTAATGACTGCGTGATGAGGAATAAAATGTCCTTCTGCTATATTGTTTTCAGTATGTTCCATAATATCTTCGTCTAACCAATTCTGAAAAACATCGTTATAACTTAGCAAATGACCAGTCCTCTCTAACTTCCTAGTCGTCGTTAAAAGTCTTTTATAAGCTACATTGTAATTACTGCCTATTTCGGGGTAACCATCTTTCCACAAAAACCCTACTTGGTAACGATTGTCTTTAAAACTAATATTCTGCTCAAATTGACTCATTACCTCTTCTTTTTTCCTATCTTTGCACATCTGCTCATGTGGCTCCGAAATCCCTAATATCTCTAAATCCCACAAATCTGAAAGTTTACTCTGAGCGTGACAATTGAAAGTCATTGTGCATTGTGCAGCACTATAAAAGTTAGGGCCCTGTAATATCCATCCTAACCTCGTCTTAATAACTACTAAGGGCCCATCTAATTGTGCCATAGTGCCCGTACAAATTACTCCTAAATAATCAGCTCCTATTAACATATTTACATCGCTAAGGTCACAGTCACTGTCGTCAATACTTATATTCAGTGACTTTAACTTTGACCTTAGCTTGGGATCATCTGCTTTGGGAAGATAGCCACAAATTTCGTCGAGTTCAAGAGCAATGAATTTTGTAGAGAAAGAAGAATCTAGACTACTTACATTCACTTCGACAAGACTGTGGTTTTCTGCTGGCTTAGTAACACCACTAAATAGTGAATAACCTAAATTCTCTATACCTACTACCTTAAGGCCTAACTCTTTTACTACGTTTTTCCTAATATACGACCTTTGCGATCCAGTATCACACAGAGCACGTATTTTCTTCTTTTTTACCCTCATGTGAAACCTCTAAAATAAAGTCTGTAATAAAATATTTCCGCCTTTTCTAGAGAAAAGTGCTGTCGCTTCTTTGGGTTCCTTTTGTTTATCCCTATGAAGGTCCGGACAAAATATCACTACATGACGTTTACCGCAGGCCATACATTTTAAAAACGTCTTGCAGTGCTTAGCTACGTGACCTTTACGTAAACAAATTAAACAACCCCTCTTATCTTTGACAGCGGCTCTCTTTTCATCTAAAGACATTTTGAGCCCTTTATTACATTGAAGAATCGAATGAGACGTATTATCACAAAAATAGCAAAAGTCATTACCTGTTTTACTGGAACTTGTCTCCTCTTTCGAAACGATGCAAGCTGCTGTCGGCGGCACATCAACACTGCTGGAAGAACTATAAGTATTAAAGTTAGCGCGCGTCAATTTAATGTGTTCCTCAGCCTCGGCTTCTCGTTTTAAGAACTCTAAAAGTTGCGTTAATTGACCAACATCGTTTACAATTCTAGTTCGATTCCAAACAATTAAAATAATTTCAGGTAAAGCTGATTCGACTAATGGATACAACATCGCTCCGTACTTTTCCGTTGTTACTTTGAGTGACTCTAAAGCGTGCAAATGGTCATCAACTGGTCGTAAAGTGATCTTATATCCATATGTTGTCCCCAAGCCTAACATAATACGAGACCTAGCAGCTCTCTCACATACGTCTCGATGAGGATACCTTCTCGAGCAAATCGTCCCTGTAGCTGCTCCAGCGCTCTTGGGTAATTCTTGCCAGACGGAGGGTAGCTAGTTACGAGCTCTCTGCTTTTGGACCCCTCCTTCATAGCCTGTATGAGATACTGGAACTTATCTTCTGGTTCAAGAGTCTCGTCCTCGTGTATCTTTTTGAACTGTCCCCAGAAAGATAACCACGTCTTCGGATTGTCATCGAATTTTATGAGCTCGATATTCGGTAGCTTTATGTTTCTCTTCTGATGAGATCCGTCAGTAGCCGCTGAAGATGTATTTGCTCTATCACATTTCTTTCGTAATTTTTTAATCGTAACTTTTACTGCATAATACTTCCTTAAATACGATTCGCATTCGTCACATTCTTCATCAAATTGCTCATCCGTGCAAGAATCGATCGTCATATTTTTTATTTGACTGTCAAAAGATTTTAACTCTTCCAATTTCTCTACAAGATACTGAAATTCGACAGTCATCTGCTCAATATCATTCGACTCCTCTATCTCTCGCACTGACCTGATGAATACTCGACGTGTGTATGCCCTTTTACGCCTCATAGCGTCGAGTTCGCTTTGTCCAGGTCTATCCGCTTTCACGGTCGCCATTATGTGGGGAGCTTCTGTATGACCGTTGTATGTAACTCCTCACATTGAAATAAGAAGATTTCTTAGACTTGAAACATTTAATCTTCTAACAAAAATATACTTATTACGAAAAACTAGTCTTACATTTTTCTTGTTATTTGCGTAACCATGACAACAAGTCACAAGATATAAAAAAACCTAAAAAGGCCGTAGATAATATTTATTTATCTTCAACAAGGAGGTTGATTTAAACCAATTGTGGGATTTAGAATCAATCGGTATTAAAGACTCTGCAAAAACTGCGAGTGAGGAGGAAGCTATCAAACTATTCAATGATTCGGTGTCATTCAAAAATAATAGATACATTAAGTGGCCCTGGGTACAGTATCCTCTACAACTACCTTCTAATTATAGATTGTAATTAGAAAGATTGGCAAGTTTAATTAATAGAATTAACACTGAGACTATAAAAAATATATAACCCTCTGTAGGGCAAGATATCCAATTTTAAAACTAAGTGGTGAAAAATGTTAATTGAAACAAATAAATATACACATGTTCCGGGAAAAATCTTTTTATTTTTATTTATTTGAGAAAATCAAATTTAAAGGGAGTGTGACATAAATGTCACACTGCATCATAAAGGTAACTTAGGTGAAAGGTAGCACAAAGCAACGCCACACTCTTTTCTGTCCAAACAGGCCAGTGTCCTGTCTGATCCTGCCTGATTGCCACTGGAGGAACATGTTGTGCTGGACCTTTGTGTCGTTTTGATTGAAGTTCGTTTTCGATAGATCGACGGTTCTTTATCTTCGATGGTACACTAAGCTTACATAAAGTTGTAGCAACTTGAAGCCGAAAATCAGCCGAGTTCAAATGTTTTTCCTGCAATCCCTTAGCCTTATGAATTCTTTTGTAAAGAAGCCATGCGTTTGCCATACTCAAGTCCAATAAATGATGAAACATTCTAACCTGCCACCTTTTGCTACGAAGCCGTATTTTGTAGCATCCCATGATGCTATCAATAAGGTCTACGCCACCCATGTGGCGATTATATTCTCCAACAATATTTGGACGATCAATTGTTATGTACTGCTTGGTCTTCTTGTCATACCTCCTCACCTGTGCTTTTGGCATTTCTCCGACAAAACTGGATGCTAAATTTACTACTTTGTTAACTTTCCAGGCTACGGTTGCTACATCCACACCGTTGACATTAGCAACATACTCAACAGAATAGCCTCTGTCTTTTTTGGATATTTCTTTGTCTGTAGGTAATTTGCAATCTGGAATCCTGTTTCGGCGTATTGTACCAAGACTCAGTATACCGTTTTGTGACAAGTATTCTAGCAGTGGCAAGCTTGTAAAGTAATTGTCAAAATATAATCTGTAATTATGGTTGCGAGGTATTTCTCTTGATAGACGCACGATAACATTTGAGGAAGCACCAAGATCAGGTTCGTTGGGCAGTACCACATTTTCTGAGCCAGTTTCGGGTTCGATTTTATACGCAAATCCAGATACTCCACTGAGAACGTAAATCTTATAACCCCATTTGTGAGGCTTTTTCGGGTTATATCTTTTCAAGTTATTTCTAGCTTTCGTAGAGCATATTTGCTCATCGACGCAAAGATATTGTTCTAAAGGGATTTCAGAAAAAGATTGGTTTAATTTTTGTACAACTGGTCTAAGTTTGAACAGTCTGTCGAATTTCGGATGTTCGTGAGGCAAGTTTTGCAAATTGTCATTAAAATGTATAAATTGTCGAATCTTTTCAAACATATGAGAGATTTGGCAAATAATAGTTCGTTTTAGGGAAGAGCGAGTGCATTGTACCGCGCGCTATAGTCGTCGTTATATAAGCGTAGAAGCATTTCGAAGATACAGTCCACTTTGATTAATATCTCGCGTAATAGGTTTAAGGTGCGACCGGGGAATTAGACTTCGGCAACCTTAGGCTCGACGCTCCACCATTTTATGGTCCTTCGGCAGGATTTGGACTGGTGTTTAGTAGTCGTTCAACCATTTTCTGGTCGAATTATTAAATTAATTATTTGGATAATTCATTCTAATTTATGGAATAGTCTTAAATAGTGTTCGTTTAAATTTAAATTTTGGTTAGGTACTCGCAAACAGAATTATTCATTTAAATAGTGTTTGTATTTGGTTTAAATTTAAAGCTTATTAGTCGCTTAAATAATTGAAACAGTGTAATCGCAACCGTTTGGTACGCTTAACCGACAATTTTGTTAAAAATATTGAGTTTGGCGAGCAACGCGTCACCTCGACTCGCTGTAACAGGTGTTCGATTTAATTACGTAATACGGCATACCGAGTGTCCATCCTCAATTATTTGTGCGTTGTGAGATTAATTGTGATTAATATAACTTTATTATAATAATTTAAAATGGCAGTTAGTGGAAATGAAATTAAAATTAAAACGCTTTATGCCAAGAGGGACATACTTTTTTCACGTATACAAAGTATTAGTGATCACATAAAGAACATTAATGTAGAAGCAGTGCGGGAAACTTTTTTGAATGAAATTGAAACGGTGGTTTCTTTGCGGACGGATTACGAAAGAATATTAGACCAAATTAATCATTTGGAATTACAAATCGACCCGAAATACATAGTGAACTACCAACCGCTTCTAGCATTTGAAGATATGTTGTGTCGCGTGAAAAGAACTGCGAAACACTTACAATCTCCATCTCAAAACGAAGCAAAGCCGGAAATACAGGTACGTCCACGTGACTCAATTAGGTTGCCGCCAATAGATATTCCGGTATTCAATGGTGATATTAAGACATGGCCCTTCTTCTTCAGTAGTTTTCAAAACAATATACACAATAACCCATCGTTATCGGACGCTGAAAAATTATATTATTTAATTAGTAAACTTAGTGGCAGGGCACAGTCAATTTGCTCGGGTTTTACACCTACAGCAAACAATTACTTGTTAATATTCGAAACGCTTAAAACTAAATATGAAGATAGGAGAATGTTAGCTTCCGAATATTTGAACCAGATATTCGATCTTAAACCTATATCATCCGCGAACATCAACGGCTTAGAGCAGTTTTTAGATAAATTTGTGGCATCGGTGGCTGCACTTAAGAATTTGAAATTTAATGACCTTATCGACGTGGTGTTTCTCCATATTGCACTAAATAAATTAGACCCCGACACCGTGCGTGCGTTTGAAATGGAGCATCGTAGCTCGGAGATGCCTTCCTTTCATTCATTAGCATCGTTCGTGCGAGATCAAATAAAGGTGATGCAGCGCTCTCCGAACGTTAAACAGGAGATTAAAAGGTGCGTCGACCGTAGACAGACTCAACCATCTAAAATAGCAGGGTCGTTAACTTACGTAACCGTTACGTCAGCATCACTTCAGCATGCTTGCATCGTATGTAAAGATAAACACGGTAATTTATATAATTGTGCGACTTTTCGTAAATATTCACAAGCGAACGTTATAAATTAGTAAAGACAAACAACCTATGTTTGAACTGCTTAAGTGATAAGTATTTAGTTGCAAAATGCAATTCGAGTTCCGTATGTAGCAAGTGCGCCGGGAAACATCACACGCTATTACATTTTGAAAATAGCAACATAGCGGCGTCAAGTAAAGCGGATAAGGAATTCACCCCTAATAAAGTCAACGATTCTAGCGGTCGACCTGGTGATGTCGCTTTGTGCTCATTGGCAAATATGGGAGCACAACCTCCTTCAACCGTGTTACTGGGTACGGCGCATATATTGGTTAGGGATTCGCGTGGAAACGAACAAAGCGTCCGTGCACTGCTGGACAGCGGAGCCCAAAATAGCTTTATAACGCGACAATGTTGTCAGCGCTTAGCTTAGTAATAAATAGGTCATTTTCATGTCCTGTAGTCAAAGGCATCGGAGGTACTAGTAAAGCTATCCAGGGATATAAATTTAAAATTTTATTCTCGGATAGATCGTAATGTTAACTTTGATATAAATGCACTAGTAGTGGATAGGGTCACTGAACGGCTGCCAACCGTTTCGGTTGACACCTCGGCAATGATTGAATTTAAAAATTTGACTCTAGCGGACGACACTTACGACGTTCCTGGAAACATAGACATGCTCATTGGAGCATCGCTTTTCCCTCATCTTTTGTTAAACAATAAGGTCAGGGGCAACTCCTCGCATACCGCGCCTTACGCACTGGAAACCGTATTGGGCTATGTCATCGTTGGCTCCGCCCCCATCATAGATAGTATTTCGGCAACCTCATATTGTGGTATGGCTGTCGAACCGCTCGAGTCGTTAGTCCGCAAATTTTAGGAGATGGAGGAGGTGAACGTCCCACCCATAGCTAGCTCAGATGACAGATTATGCGAGAAAATTTACGTCTGCACGACCGTTCGTGATCGCGACGGTAGATATAGTGTAGCGCTACGTTTTAAAGGAGATGTTTTATCTCTCGGCGATTCGCGTCAAATGGCGGAAAAACGTTTCTACAGCTTGGAGCGTAGGATGCTCGCTTCACCCCAGTTAAAAGAAGCTTATGACGGCGTCATTAACGAATATATAAGAGAAGGTTACATATCACTCGTGGCTTCGAAATTAGATAACTACGAAGACACACCGTCGTATTTCATATCACACCACGGGGTCATTAGGGAGGACAAACTTACATCTAAGTTACGTATAGTGCTCGACGCTAGTGCTAAAACTAGCACTCACCTGTCGCTTAACGATATCCTCTATAGTGGGCAAAATTTACAGGGCAGTTTATTTAATATAATAGCCACTTTTCGTTTGTTTAGTATAGCACTATCCGCCGATATTCGCCAAATGTTTCTTTGCATAGGGGTCCGTGAATGCGACCGTGGATTCCAACGCATTTTATATCGTTTCAACCCAAAGGAACCCCTAATGGTGTTGGAATTTAACCGCGTTTGTTTTGGTTTAAAGTCGAGCCCATTTCATGCGTTACGCACGGTGAAACAGCTCACCCACGATTAAGGTCCCTCTTACCCTAAAGCTAAGAGGGCAATTGAGAGCGGTTTATATATGGATGATTTTGTATACTCGGTCGATAGCGTGGAGGAGGCCATCCTAACCACCGCCGAGGTTATAAGGCTCATGAAATCGGGTCAATTCGATCTTGTGAAGTGGACTAGTAATTCGCGTCCGGTTTTAGATACAATCCCACTATCACACCGTCTTTCGGCGATAAACGAATTCGACGATTCTGATACACACAAGGTGCTCGGTCTGTGATGGTCACCAGAGTCCGACGTGTTTAGCCTTAAGGTAAATCCGCCCGTAGAGAAATGCACAAAGCGCACAATACTGTCATGCGTTGCTAGATTATGGGACGTCATGGGTTTCGTAGCTCCGGTGGTATTATACGCTAAGCTTTTGATTAAACAACTTTGGTTATTTGAATGCGATTGGGATGATTCGCCGCCTGACAGCATTGTTCGGTTGTGGCAGCATTTTAGGGAGGAACTTCCTCTACTAAGAGAAATTAAAATACCGCGTCATATAAACGTCGATAGAAATAGCGTCATAACGGTCGTTGGGTTTGCAGACGCCAGCGAGAAGGCTTACGGGGGGCGTTGTATATTTCCACGTTCAGAATAATGGTAGAAATTCGATTAGCCTCATTAGTTCTAAGTCGAGAGTCTCCCCCCGTAAGGTTGTCTCTCTGGCGCGCTTAGAGCTTTGCGCAATATTAGTACTCACCAAGCTTATTACCGCAGTTATCAGCGCATGTAGGGATAGAGTTCACATAGAAAGGATATTTGCCTTTTCCGACTCCACCGTCGCATTATGCTAGGTTCATTCTTCACCCCACCGTTGGGATACGTTTGTCGCGAACCGAGTGGCCAAGATCCAAGACGAGTTAGAAACGCGGAACTTTTATCACGTGTCCGGTACGGAAAACCCTGACGATTGTCTATCCCGTGGACTCACCCCGATACAAATAATGGACCACCCGCTTTGGTTCCACGGACCTTCTTGGGTTCACTTGGATCCCTCGCAATGGCCAATAACCGATTTCGAACCTTCGTCAGTGTCACAACCGCCGTAAGAGAAGAGACACGCTCTAGTGGCGAACGTTTCGAGCGAGGTTTCTCCAATCATTGCTTTGACGAACCGCTTGTCCTCTTGGTCGAAATTATTGCGTAGCGTAATTTACGTTTGTCGATTCGCGAAGCTTTTACCGCGACGTTCGTATGTCTTAGCGTCCGAATACAACTATGCCGAGTCGCTAGTATTACGTGAACTTCAACGTGCACACTTCTCTGAAGAAATTACAAGATTACAATCGAATAGAGCTTGTAGTCGCGCCTTTCAACGCCTTAAGCCATTTTTACAGGATGGGATTGTAAGGGTAGGTGGACGCTTGTCCAACTCGCAGTTGAGTTTCGACCAACAGCACCCTATAGTTTTACCGCGCAAAGACCATATCATGAATTTATTAGTCGATTACCATCATAAATTGAATTCGCACGCTGGCCCCGACTTGCTGATGTCGATCTTGCGTCAGAATT